TTCTTCGCTGAAAGACTTAAATTTTGGAAATATTAACAACAATTTTGTTGACCATGGTAAGACCAAAGGGGTCTACAACTACAATGTAAGTAGTCCAGTTGATCTTGCCAAGCTGTACCTTCCACACTACCTTGTGGCATTCTCGGCATTCGACAAATCTATGGATTTGAGTGTCGCTCTTAGACTTTTGGGATGTAGGAAGTATCCCATACAAGTATTCGTGTCAACTGATCGTTTGCACAATATCCAGTCGTTGGCAGATGATGTCAGAGAGAATGTTAGGAATCGGGGAGGTCATTTTAAAGAGAGTGACTGGACCCAAATCATGTTTGACCAGTGCTTTGACAAGTTAAAGGCTCTGCTCCAATATCTGCCCCTGCTTCCCGACAAAAAGAAGGAGGTTTTGAATGAGCTTTCTGCATGGAAAACAGAAGGTAAGAGAGACTTCGATAGTAATGTAATGTTGCCCTTCAACTAATAGCTTGTTAATTATATAGATTTCCGGGTCGAATTTTAACTTAGGACAAACAAGAATACAGTTTAAGCGAACACAGAAGTGACATTCCAAAGGTAACATTTCCTTTTCGGAAACTTGAAAACATGAAATGTTTTTGGCTGCATTTCCAGTATTTTTACGAGAAAACGTTCGGCAGTCAAACTCAGCCAAAACTTTCAGGTCAATCAAATCACCGCTCTAACCCTGTTCGTACTCAGGGCATTTGACTACTTTTCACCCATAGGGTGCACACTCTCTGGCAGGGCACATGCCTGGCTTTCATTCATGGCCCATTTAATATGTTTGTGATCGTTTATCCTCCCTAAATCTCATCATATCAAACTAAACCGCCTGCGATTGCCATGATGGTTTTAGTCACCTGGCTACTCGCGCGAATCTCCGCTTTAAAGAATTTCCTTGTGCCAACTTATTCAGATGAGCAAGTTTCAATAATATGAATTATTATATGGCTGTGTCTCACAAGGACTGGGAACTACCGAATTCACGAATTTGATTGGCTGAAATCAATATTGAAAGCGGTCTAGATTTTCCCATCTAGACCGGCATCTAGACCGGTCTAGAAAAAAAAGGTACAAAGAATATAAAAAATTGGCATATAAGACACAGCCATATAATAAACATCTTATTAACCGAGCTAGGTCGGTCTGTATGGGAGAATCTTGACCTCGGTCGCTGGTACAGACCTCACTGCGTTCGGTCTGTACTGGCGACCTCGGTCAAGATTCTCCCATACAGACCTCCCGCTCGGTTATTAAGAACTAAGTACAGAATTTTTTATTCACTTTTTAAATGTCACATCTACAGTGACAACAAAAGGCATTTCCTCTCTCTGGTTACTGTACTTAATCTCTACCACATTTCAGTACAGTCATCATCATCATTGTCATCACTGTTGGCAACATCATTTTTGTTATTAGCATAGTTATTTTCATTAACATCATTTATTGCGTGATCATCATTTTTAGGTTTCAAGCGGATTGTTGATAATGATGTCAAAGACTTGATGGAAAAGTTCCAAGACGTCAAACTTGCTTCAATTAATGAAAAATTGGACGACATACCAACTAAAGAAGAGAACGAAAGAGCGATGAAAAAGCTGTTTTCTTTTCACACCAGTATGATGGACAGATTTGATAGAATGGAATCCAGAATGGAATCCTTAATTCGACAAGTTAATCGCAAGCTAGAAGGTAAGTTTATAAACTGGTCGTAAATCCTAGCAAAACCAAGCACATATATATTATTGACCAGCCGGGAGGTCCGTATTGGGAAACTGTGCCCGAGGTCTCGGATACCGTCCTCGGCCTACGGCCTCGGGTGGTACTCAAGACAGAGGGCACAGTTTTTCCCAATACGGACCGACCTATGCTGGTCAATAACATTTTTATTTTTTCTAACACATAAAAAAGTGATTGCTAAAAGAACCCGAATGATTTAGGCTAGAATTACGAGTTTAATCATGGGAAGATCCTCCATAAACTTAACAATTTGTCAGTGAGTGGATAATAAAGAAAACAGACGTTATTCAAATTAAAGAGAAAGCTTTCACCGAAACATTTTTATTCGTAAAGGTAACTTAAAAGGCTTCCGAGTAAACTTTGAAAAATTTTTGATAATTAAGTGTCACGATGTGACACCTGTTAATTGAAGAGAAAAAAATGCGTACGCTTTTAAAAAACAACAGTATTGGTATGACAAACACACACGAGTTAAATGACCATTCGACGATTTTCTCGTAAAAAAAAAAAACAAAAACACTCGGAGATCCTACGAAAAGTCTTGTTCATTTCCAACGACGATTAATCTTCGAAGATTTACCTCTGTTCCGTTTTAAAATGTCACGGAAATGTCAAATTGTAAGTAATTGCAAATGTGTGTTTTGGAGTTGTCAATCTGCTTATTTGTTTCCTGCAATGGTGTGTGTAAATCGGTTTTTCTTCCACCAAAAAGCTGAAGTCAGTGAGACTCTTTCCAGCTAGACACAAGGGGACTTAATGTGACTTTTATTCATCGATTTCCTTCGGTTACTGTTGTGAAATTTACGGTAGAAATGTCCAAATCCAAGAGACTTGCAAAAAATAGGCGAAAGTGTTTTCGCTCAACGTTTCACAAACGAACAAATTGCGTTGAAGAATTCAGATATTAACGAAAGAGAGTCACATTGACACTGATTAACGTAATTGTTAACTGCAACTACCTCTCGTTTTAACTTTCTGAGTTACTTTTTTTGAAGGATTATTGAATAACAAATTGTTTTTTAAGCCACGTTTCAATCTTTTTAAAAACAAATGTAGTATCACAAAATTTATTTCGAAATCAACTTTTGCTGAAAAACCAAAGTGATTTGAGAGCGAGAGAGAAGAAAGAATTTATTTAATATTGTTTATCGCCAAAAGGTCTTGACCAAAGGCTTTGCTTAAATTCTGCCCAGCCGGCAAAATGAGATATATTAATTATGCGAAAAATTGCAACGAAGCTTAATTGAGATGTTCTGCAAAATGACTCAAGCGAAACGGATACCGCCCGCTGTGAGCGGGCCGGATGGGGAAAATACTGCCGGCTCTCGGGACCAATCAGATTGCAGGATTTGTAGAATACCGCCCGCTCACGAACTGAGAAAAAAATAAATGTTATTATCTTTCAGTAAACTTTCTTCTTATCACGAACTTCACCCCAACACCGACATTTCCTTAGGATTTGGGACTAAATGTTCAGAACTTGTATCTTCGGCAAAACTTTTAGGGCCTTACATTAACCACCAACTTAAATGGGAAGAAAATGTTAAGCAAGTCTCATTCTTTAGAATAACATAAAGCTTAATTGGTTACCCGTTAAAGAACATATTGAATAGCAGTTGTTGAAGTCAGTTCACAAGGCGATTTTTTCTCATGAATGGCCAAGTAACTTGAGACTAAAGCAATTTAAGCACAATCGAACTCTGACGTCCAGTCCAGCTCTGCAGCTTGAAATCCCACTAGTATCACCCGTTCATCAAGATCAAGTTGCTGAGAGCTTTAGTATTTTACCTTGATGTGTAAGGAGCTGTATTGACTTCAATCAGTTCTTTAAGATAACTTTAAAGCATTTGATGAAAAAGGTCAAAGATAACTTTTCAGCTTGATGTATTTTTAAATTTACATTGTTAATAGGTTTACTTATTTTTAAATGTATTTGTATTTTTTTAGCAGATGTATTTCTTTTTGGTAGATGTAGCTTATTTGTATTTTTTTTAACGAGGCATTTCAAAGCAAATGTACTTTGCAGACGAAGAGCCAACAGGTGGAAATGCTGAATGAAGCCATTATTATCATTATTGTTACTACTATTGTCATTATTTTTATTATTATTATCATTATTATTATTATCATTATTATTTTTTTTATTATCATGACGCAGTTTATTGAACTTCAGCTTGCCAGGAAAAGAAAGTTTCATAGGGGGCACAGCGTAACCTATGAAACTACACATCGTTGCACTTATAAAAAATATAAAAACCTATTTGCTAGCATGGAAAATTATTTAAGATACAACTAATACTAATATACCGTCGCTAATTTACAGTCTATTATCAATATACATAACAACTAAGTCACGTTCTGTGAATAAGATTACTGTAAAACTTATAAACTAAATTCTCTACATAAGTCGATTAATNAGGCTCATTTGTCACTCACCGTTGACGTGTGCGGGTCAAATTCAAATGCTGGTAGAGAAACAAAAGGAGCTAATGAGATATCTATTGTTTACTTCCACCAGCATGGTGGCATGAGGTAACGTGCGAACCACCTACTTCGATCCCAAATTTACCGCCTCAAATAAAGACAATTTCCATTGAAGAAAGGAAATACAAATCTCAAAAATTCTTGTATTGTGGAAGACATAGAACAATTTTAAGGAATGCGCCCGCTGTTCACTGCTTTGGAGTAGCTGTAGCTCAAGCTGACTTGACTCTAAGAGTTCTACATCACGCGACGGTTGATTGACAAATGGTCCAGTGGGACCTAAGGCTCCTTTTATAGCGCGCCTTCGTGTTTAATAAGAATGTACAAAGTACAAGAGAGTAGTAGTAATATAGTAGAATAGTAGTTTCAAATCGCCCCAGAAAAAGTGACAAACAAACAAAAGAAAAAAATTAGAAATATGAAATGCAAAATTGATCTACAAGTAGAACAAAACGAAAATAAAACCAGGAAACGAACGAAGAGCATTGTAAAGTTGAGAGTAATCCAGAGAAGAACTGTTGGAGATGGTAGTATCTGAAGCATCGACAACTCAACGGAAGTCTTCTTAAAATGATTCCTAACTTTATTAGAGTACAAACTAATTTATCAATCATCGTAATTACTTAAAAAATCGGGGCGATCAGGACCCATACGGAAGCTAGGACGTAGAGGGAGTATGCCATGCTTACGATATTGGACATTTTTAGAAATTAACGAAAATTTTTGGAATATGTTGACGTTAAAACTGCCATTCTTCCTGCAGGACAAGAACCCAGAATCGACTTGCAAGCTAAGAGCTAAAATTGCCAAAGTAAGTCAGTTACTACATTATCTGAGAGTTTTTTGATGTAGTCCTTTAACAATGACGACGCTTAATTAAGAATTTTTTCTAGTTCTATATTCATAACTGTCAGACAATTCTTAACTGCACATTTTTCCAAATTATCTTATAAGTCAGCACGCCCTATGACCGAACATGTTTCACGTATGAAAATAACTGTAGTAGAGGCCACACATACAACTTTTTGCTTTTCGTTTCCCGTTTTTTTTTCTTTTTTTTTTGCCGCAAGCAATGACGCCTGGTTGGAGTATGTGCAGCATCCTAATTATAATATTTTGTGCAGCCGCCGACACTCTCACCAAACTTGCCTGTAGCTCTCCGGATCCGAGGGAATAGGGACCTTTAAAATCACCATAGAGAGTGAATAAGATACAGTTTTTACTGTTGGCCTCAAGCTTCATCTCTATATTAATCTTAGGGGAAGAGAATGGGAAACGAAATTAACTGGTCACCTCGCCCTTTCCTGATGATTTTCATGAATAAGGAAGGAACGGAAACAAATTGTAATTGCTCTGAAAATCAATTGTATACAGTAACTGAACTCAAATTATAATTCTCGGATTTATTCTCTGCCCTTATGAATAACTGTGGGTATGGCGCCCATAGATCTGATGTCTAAGTCGCCTTACTTCAATTTGTTTGGAATCGCATTTCCTCAAAGAAAAATGTTTTAAAATTTCATCGAAACTGGCCTCTGTAAGTCCCGAAAGAAAGCCTTTATTCTCTGCAATATATGTAAATGAGGTTATTGCTTGATGTAAACCCGGTTCTTCCAATTGTATTCATGCTCATCAGGTATGCGTCAAGATCTTGACAATCTATAAAGACTCTGCTCGTTTGCAATTACGCGACGTTTGGATGGACCTCTTAATAATCGAAACCAGTTTGTCAGGGCATTCTGTGTATCGGTTTATTCGTACATAATTCTTTATTCTTCGATAAATTTCTTACCTGCAAAGTGCTAAAGTGTAATCTTGCTTTACAGTTATCAAGAAGGACATTACACAAAGCTACAATCAATGGTGGACACGATCTTGTCAAAATACTTCTTGAAAGTGGCGAAGATGTGAACCAGATGGACGAGGTTGCTCACATGATTTTGCGTTAATTCCCGTAAAATTTTTTTTTTAATGTCTCTGTCGTTTTTCTTTCTTTTTATTTTTGGTTGACCTGATGTCTGATGCTTAGGTCTCATTTTGCAGTTTGGTTTGACGCCTCTTCACCTTGCTGCATGGTATGGAAAGAGAGCTGTTGTAGAACTCTTGTTACAGCACGGGGCAAATGTAAACGCCGTAGATAGAGTAAGTTGCTGGCCAGTCGCGTTTGTGTATTTGACAATGTGTTTAAAATGTTTGCCAAGTTTCAAACCGGTAAGAATTAATCATATACTCCCAGGTCCTGGAATGCTCGTCTTACAGAGTGAAAGTTTGAAGTAACTGTCTTGTTTTGACCGAAGTGAAATATTTGTATCCTTTAGTTTCAGAAAACACCTCTACAAAAAGCTGAACGCAACAATCACCAATCCATAGTTGAGCTACTCCTAAGGAATAATGCCAGTCCCTCTTACAACCAACCGGTATGGTCCGAATAGTATTCTACTTCCATGATTTTGAATTAAAAGAAACATCTTTTCATGAACAGAGGAGGATCGCGCTAATTCAATGAGCTTCAACAAATGCTTCTTTTCGTGCAGTCATTACGAGTCTGCAATTGATAGTTTTCATGTTTTGGTGCATGACTTCGTTGTAATGGTCTTCGTGTCTTTTTCCATCACTACCGACTAGCTGTGCATAAGATCTGTTCTATACATGTGCGTCTTGTGCCCGCAATAAAGCGTTTTTTCTTTGTAATTCTCAACTAATTTACCAGACAGCACAAGTTCGCAAAATGAGCCTCCGTAAATATGGAAGTATGTTTACGTTGCGCAATGGCTGAATGATAAGGATTTGTATGGGAATAAACAGTCGTGCTCTTGAACTAAAAATCTGGACAAAAAATCTTCTCCTAAGTGGTTGATCTTTTGAGAAGACACAAGTGCTTTGCACTGCAAGTATTAAGCCCGCTGGGCTTGTCTCTTTCGGGTGTGGTAATCCTGTAGTCAATCTCATTAAATATGTCATGGGCCAACGAGTCTGCCTTTTGTCGAACGTCGAGGATCGAGGGTTATAAGTCGAGGGTGAGGGTAATGTTTCGATGGTCCAAAAAAACTAAAAATGATAAATAATTCAATAAGAAATATTAAAATTAAAAATATTAAAATAGAAAATATTTTAAAAATGAAAATGAAAAATATAAATATAAACAAAATAAGAAACAAATCAATATTAAAGTTAAAATGAAGTAGAAATAGTAAATTGATAATTAAATAATCCTTAATAATAACACCGGGAATGCTAGTATTCTACACAGCATCTTTTTGGTATGTCTTTGGGGGAGCGTTGCGTCACATCCTTGGTAACTGCGTGATAGATCGAAAGAAAGAACAGATGACTACACCATTTCGGAGGGCGAAAAACGAAATTATTCTGTAAAATTGGGCAAAACACCTGACTGCTGTAAAATATTGACTGCACAATATTATTGCGTGGCCTCAAGCGCTAACCGGCGTGCGACCTATTCTGGAAGTTGAACTACATAACTACGTTTCCGACTCGTTTCGGATTGAAAAACCAGATGCTTCAAACAAGCATACTGTACCTTCACCCAACAGTTGTTAACAGTTGTTGTTGGGTGAACTAGCAACTGCTGTGCGTAAATTTATCGAAGACACCCTACAGAATTTGTCACTAGAACTGCCATACCTGAGGGGTCTGCAGTACAGGCTGTGTGTTGCATGTCCTTACTGCCATCAAGGGACAGAAGAACCACGTCAAGCATGCTCAGACCACATAAAAACCACTTGCACACACGAGAACTGCTTCCATCTCATTGATGCAAATGAAGGCCAAGCAGCTATCTGTACCAGAGAACTTTGGGATGAAGTACGTCCTTTCTGTGGGCTGGAAAAGTGGTTCGTGAAAAGAACGAGCCAGGTATTACCAGTCGTTGTAATTTGTTACCTTCTCTGATTCAAATTTGCTATCGCGATCTCCTTAATTCTCTTCATTTGAGAATCCTGAATAGATTGTAATCAGCGTGCACGACGTTATCATGGTTAGTTTGCCTCCAATTTCAAAGATAAGTCAGACATTTCTTTTCAAGTTGAAATTATTTTCATAGGTTATACTTCTCGGTCATGCCATGGCAATGAACTTATCATTATAAATGAGTAGGAGCATACCCAAAATTCATGATGCTATATAAGTGTTAAAATCTTATATGACCTCTTCTTTTTCGCCCAGGGGTCGTGGACTTTAAATGTTACCGCCGAATCACAGGGTGTAGCAGCTGGAGTTAATCTAAGGAAGTCTGACATGGCACTGAAGGTAACTCTCCTGGGCAGTGAGTGGAGTTCATCCATGGGAGGCTTGTCCACCATAAACAGACAGCTTGCCATTCTGTTGGCCAAACATCCGCAAGTGGACGTCACTCTCCTTGTTCCACAGTTTGCCTGTTCTGAAGAAGAGAAGAGAATGGCAACGAGTCACAATGTATCCTTGAGAGAGGCACAAAGACGCCCGGGTTATGCCGATCCCCTTGACTGGCTGAGTGCCCCACCAAGAGATCTGGCCATTGACATAGCACTGGGTCATGGAGCAAAGCTTGGTAAACAAGCTCAATTTATTAGAGAATCGCACCATTGCACGTGGATACAGGTAGTGCACACTGCACCTGAAGAACTTGGAATGTACAAAGACTATCCTGAGGCCATTTCTAAAGGAAATGAGAAGAACAGAACTGAAGTGGAGTTGTGTAAGTTGGCAGATGCTGTGGTAGCAGTTGGACCAAAGTTGACAAAGGCTTACTCTTCCTACCTGCGCTCATGCGAGAAGCACCAAGATATAATTCAACTGACGCCGAGCACGTTCAGTGAGTTTTCTGACGTAAAACAAGCTGCAGTTGACATGGACAAGTTTAAGGTTCTAACGTTTGGCCGTGGTGATCCAGAGGACTTCAGCCTGAAGGGCTACGATATCTCTGCCAGAGCAATAGTTGAACTGAAAGGCATCTTGGTACGACGTATTCTGAGTCTTAAATTCCAGCAATTCTTGGGCTATTTGATGGAAAAGTGTGGACGAAATCAAAACAATGAAGGTACGTTTATTGAAAACCATGTTTTTGGGAAATAAGGATTATCATTTTGTCGTGCATTGAAGACGCGGTTTCTCAAAACAAACCTGTTCTACTGAAGTTTACGTCAAAATATACTTAACGTTGACATTAGATCAAGTAATGGTTTGTACAACCTCAGTCTTCCGAACAACCACAGGCATGAGAAATTCATTTCTCACTTTGAGGAATGCTTAGTTCTTATCAACCGAGCGGGAGGTCTGGGTGGGAGAATCTTGACCAAGGTCACCAGTACAGACCTAATGCGACCTAGCTCGGTTACTGAAGATGTTTATCATATGGCTGTGTCTAGAAAGTAACGGAATATTATATTCTTTGTACCTTTTTTCTCTAGACCGGTCTAGATGCCGGTCTAGATGGGAAAATCTAGACCGCTTTCAATATTGATTTCAGTCAATCAAATTCGTGAATTCAGTAGTTCCCAATCCTTGTGAGAACAGCCATATAATAACTAGAGGTAATTTTAATTAGTTTGATTTTCCTCGGTTGAGGGTACGTTAAGACAACCTGAAGGAAAGTCATCATCAGAGTCTTGCTGAGCGGATTTGCATATTTAAGAGTGGCCCTCTGTGATGTCAGCTTTCATTGATTCAGCTTAGCATTTGTCGTGCAAGGTTGTTTCACTAAATCTCATTAGTTCTTGAAATCTGATTAAGTTTCATTACCACGCGATAACCTTCTGGTGATTGTACCTCTGCATGATTATCTTGCATGATTAGCATGGCTTATCTTGCATGATTAGCATGCCTTATCTTGAATGATTATCATGCCTTATGAACCAACTAACCCTTGAAGTCGGAGGCCAGGATGGGCGAAGGAAAAAAACACTTAAAATGACCGGAAATTAATAAATGGATAATTACTGAGGCATATGGCATTATGAGAAATATTGCAGCCAGCTGAGGCCTACGGCCTCAGCTGGCTGTAATATTTCTCATAATGCCATATGCCGAAGTAATTATCCACTAAATAATAATCAGTTGTATCCTCTTGTGGATTGATGTAATATTAAAGAAATGGTTCTTTCTATCTTTTTAGCTTCTAAAAGACGAGACACAAGTTTCAGAACTCATGGGGCCGAAGATGTCGACACTTCAACCAAACAACGAACAGTTGATTCATTACTGACTCCAAGTGAGTAAAAATATAAATAACACACGGCAACTGACATCTCCAAAAATGAACAGAGAAGTTTCAAGAAGGTCCAACATTCCTCCTTTCCTTTTCTTTTAACTCCAGGCGAGCTACGCTTTGTTAGAAGTAATACTTCTGATAGTATTTTACATTAAGGAGACATCTGTTAATATTTATACCTCTGCTTTCGGTTACAATCCCAAGGCATGTATATACAAATTTGCATTTCTTTTACTATCGATCTGGACGGATGGTTTGGTCTTAGATGTTTCTTTCGGACAATTGAAGGTTTCATCACATTTCACTAGGAAACAAACATAAATTGCCTGAAACAGGGAGACTTGGGGCATTCTTCTTCTTTTTCTCGAAACAAAGCGGAAGTTTAAACGCCGTTTCGATCAAATCCGGTCGCAATACATTTGTCTTTCGACACAGTATTGAAGAAATCGTATATTGATACGGTAGAGGAACTACATCAGTATCTTTTTGAAGCCCAGAATTTTTCCAGGATTCGCAAATATGTAAGAGTGTAGACCTGTTTCGTGTCTACCCCTTCTCTCTTGATTATTTTATCCAACATTTCATAACGGGCAAATATCGAACCTAAAAAGTCAATTGACTGCCAGTGCATCACTTCAAAGCTCAGTTGTTGAACAAAACATCGGTTATTTAGTGGTTGAAGGCCTTCTTTCCTATTTTACTCTCCAAGTTTTTCTAACTAGCTGGGGAATTTATATTTTCCAGCTGAATATGGTTGCTCTTCTTTCATGTAGTTAAATTAGTAAAAACTTGATCTTTTCTAGCTACTCTTGACCAAATCATCCAGGAACTTCAAGAGATGAAGCTTGATGCAAGCAAAGTTAAAAGAAGAACAGTTCTATTATCGGGGCTGAGGAATATTGCATCAGACAAGGGCTTCAGAATATCCGACAATCAAGGATCAGGAAATTGCATGTTCTATGCCTTGTCAGAACAACTGGAAATTGTTAAAGGAATCAAAATCCCATACGGCAGATTAAGACAAACCTTGGTCCAGTACCTCAGGAGTAACCCAAAACTAGTAAGTTGATGTTAGTATGTCTAACAGAGTATGCCACGTGATATTATCCTAAGATTATGATAAAGGTGAAGTGTGTATACAGGTCAACACCACCAGAGCCTATCCCAGGGTGAAGTGACCAGCTTGTAGCCTGGTGGGAAGAGGAACTGAAAGGTTGAACTTTATTTTGTAAGATTCCGCACAATGGTGTTGGTTAGAGTTGAATCCTTTGCTACTGAATATAGTTTCCTTAGAAGCAAGCTACCCCTTTCCGTGGTTAGAATATTTCAGTTTTCAAGAAAGCTGCCCTTAAACCACCTTCAGATAAC